CACCTTGAAATATGAATCACCAACATTCAAGGTGTTGCGTGGGCCAGGTAAATCTTTGTGCCCCAGGAAGGCAAGGGCCAAACTAGCATAGCCTCTGGATGCAATCAGGGCAGCGCGGTACTCCATCAGTCCTCCACCCATTCCCCACAGGTCCAACATGCCTGGAAATGGACCCGGGCCTACAGGAAGTCAGTACCACAGATGCTGTTCAGAGGACACAGCCTTTCCACATCAGTTTTAAAATCTCTGAGTGAATACTTCAAAGCGTCTGCTCACCAGGGGGTAAGAATAACGTCCCTACAACTCCATTTTGACGAATATCTATTCTCCGTACGCCTGGTGCTATATACCAGCGCTCAGTGATTACAGTAGCTAGCTCAGTGCCCTGTGCCTCACTGGGGGAAATGTGGCCCTCCAGCAAGGATATCTGCACTGTGTATGGAGTCAATACGTTTATCTTCCTCAATCTGTGAAAAAGAGCACAGGTCAGTCAGGAAACTGTCATCAACTTCTATTGTTTCTGTTGTAATATGCCATGACAAAGAGCGGTGGCAAGTAACTAAGTAGGTCACTGTCCTTAGCGCTCACTGAGCCTGTTCATGTCACCTGCCTCAAAGGGCCTTTGACCCCAGGATCCCCCTGCATTCCCCAGAAGAGTCCCATTGGCTCACAGCCCAAATATGAGCCCCCAACCGAATGGTCCCTGGTCACTATTTTAGGGACAAACATAGATGGGAGAAGATCAACTGAGCAAAACCCAGTCAGGAAACTGTCATCAACCTCTGTTGTTTCTGCTGTAATATGCAATGACAAAGAGAGGTGGCAAGTAACCAAGTACATTTACTCAAGTACCGTGGTTAAATACAATGTTGAGGTGTCTCTACTTGAGTATTTTCATTTTCTGTTACTTCAGACTTTGACTTCACTACATTTTAGACAGACTGACCACTGATGGCAAATTTGTACAAGTGTGACACACATGAAACAAACAATGATTAAATGAACATGTGGGCAAAGGCTGAACATCTGTAGCTGCAGAATGAATGAGAGCCACATCTGTTTATATGTTTGAATTAGGTTGTAATAGTAAATTAAACAAACTCCGCATCCTCCACTCCTGCTACAAGTGTAGAACGGACAGCTGGGTAAACGTCACTGTCCTTAGTGCTCACTGAGCCTGTTCATGTCACCTGCCTCAAAGGGCCTTTGTTCCCAGGATCCCCCTGCATTCCCCAGAAGAGTCCCATTGGCTCACAGCCCAAATATGAGCCCCCAACCGAATGGTCTCTGGTCACTATTTTAGGGACAAACATAGATGGGAGAAGATCAACTGAGCAAAACCCTGAACAAAAGTCTAAAAGTCTCATCAAATCTAAAAGTGACTTCCACAATAAACAAATTAAATGTTGACTTGTTTTTTGTTTTACCACTTGAATTTCAATGACAACTTTACACTACAAACCCTTTCTTTGTCCAATTGTTAATATTGTTATTTGTTAATATATTAGCAAGTGTAGGGGTGACTGTGGTTCAGTGGGTAGAGCAGTCATCTCCCAACCGGAAGGTTGGCGGTTTGAATCTCAGTGCCTGCATTCCACTTCCACTGAACCCCCAATTTAACCCGATGGTTAGAGCCATTGGTGTGAAGTGGCGCTGCAGATGGCTGCCTTGGTTCTGAACTGGAAACAAATTCCTTGTGTGACATACTTGGCCAAATAAAGGTGATTATTAATAGTGATTTTTTTTATTGTAACTGTATCCATTTTAAACAGTAAGAATAAAACTATCTGGAAAAAAAGTACATTAAAATTATTATTTGTGTTTTTTTCCAACACCAACTAGACAAATGCTTTTCACATCTACAATCTATGGAGTTATCTTATATATTATATAAATATAATAATATTGTGTGTTTAATAATTCCATTTATATCAAATCATTATATATAGACAGGCAACAAATAAAAGGAAAGCCTGAATAAACAAGTGGTCTCTTCAGGATGACCATGGGGCACGAGGGCTCACTCAATGGTTTTATGAGTGTGACAATGATGAGAATCATATGCTGTGGTCTTCAGTCAGCAGATCTCAACCCAGGTGAACATTTATAAGAGATTTAGGACCAACATGTTAGACAATGTCTCCACCACCATCATCAAAACACCACATGAGGGAACATCTTTGGAAGAATGGTGTTCATCCCTCCAGTAGAGTCCAGGAACTGGTGAATCATTGCCCAGGAGCTCTGAAGCTGTTCTGGTGGAACACGGTGGCCCAGCACCTTACTGAGACACTTTATGTTGGCTTTTCCTTTTGTTTGTCACCTGTCTGTATGAGCCAACAGTGATTATGGAATGCTACAAACTCTGTGTGACTCACAGTTCACAGTGCCGTCTGAATTTGTATTATAATGGGCAAATGCCTCCCATAGGTCACCATCCTCACTGTGCATTTGTGCACATAGTGTAATTGGGCAGTGTGGGGGAAGGAAAGTCCCTTTAATGCTGATCCGTTCATCTATGAGAGCACGAACAGGAGCAGCTGTCAAAAGAGGAGATGGTCGATAACTGCTCCTCCACCGAACTGCACCTGCAGATAAAAAAAATATACGGGGACCGTGAACTTGTAGGCATTACAGAAAAGAGAGGTACAGTATTACAGGTGACATTGTATCTGAAATTCTCTAATGTCGTCCATAGCAATGAGAGACAGCAGACATTTTACAACTTGCCATACCTTGAGATTTTTACATTTTACTTAAAAAAAAAAAAATTACCGGTTGAGTAACTGAAATAATCGATCAATTCCTTTCCACCAAATTCTGCAATTCTTATCCATCTACCAGGTTTTCAGCTTACCCACAAAGAGAAACGTTATAGAAAATACCTCATTCAGTCTACAAACAAAATTACAATTGCTGCAGATCTAGGAAAGCATTTTTACACAAGTACTGCAGATGTCTTATGATCTAGAAATTTACTCTGTGTTTTGCATTATTTCTCAAAAATATTTTAGGATTATTTTACAGTTATAGTAGCAGCAAGAAGTAACAAATACTTCTTAGATGATCACATGCTGTACACCACAGACAGACCTTTATGTAAGAACAGTCGACCTGCAGTTTAGAGAAACAGATTTTCTCAGAGTCAAAACAGAATGTACCGGTCAACCCAGACACTTGAAGTCCAAATAACAACAAAGAATAAACAATATTCTTACCCACTGCAGAATGCAAACCTGCCAGTTTTCTGTATAAGGTGAATAGTGTCATCTTCATTTCTATGAGCTGTCGAATTCTTGTCACATTCACATGTGCTCTGATCATAACGGTGTTCACTCCACATGAAAATGAGTAAAGGTTAAAGTCCATCACTTTAATTCCAAGTTAAATATTTAAACTTACAACAGTTTTATCAGTGAGCTGCAGCCAAGATTGATCAGATATGTTCCTCTATAAGAAATGAATCACAGACCCCTTTGCTTTTTTTTACATTGTGTTGTAGATTTAATTATAAATAAATAAATTGGCCATTTTGCCCATCAATCTCCACCTAATAACCCATAATACCAAAGTGAAAAAACATGCTTTTACAACATCAGAAATTTTATTAAAAATCAAAAACTGAAATCTCTCACTTCCATAAATATATTCAGGCCATTTCCTGTGGCACTCCAAACCTTTGTCAGTTATATCTAGTTGGTTTTAATTCTTCTTGTATCTAGACATTGACTGGAGACCACCAGCAAAAAGTGAAGGTGTTTGAACACTTTCTAAAGTCAATGTAAATTAATGAATCAAATGTCTATTTACTCACTTTTTAAAAATGAAGTCCAGAACATTAATTACTCTAGCCCATCACTTCAGTTAAAAGATCACAACCCCTGGAAAAATATCAGTTCTCCAAATCTACCACAGGCACTCATTGTATGGTCAGCAGTTGTTGTCTTGTGCACGCCTGTGTGAATGAACTCGTGCACTCAAGTGTGAATTCCATAACCTGCACACAGAACCCCCTGCATATCTTGTTATGATGAGAAGCCTTTCTCATTATAAGAAGATACTTTTCTTGTTTTTAGGACATACTGTGTTTTCTCATTATACCGTAACCCTGCGCAGCTCGGAGTGACTGGCAGCAGCGCACACACTGGCTTTGAGTAATACCTCCTTAGCAAATTCAGTCCTGCAGCCTCTTTATCATCAACAGTCTCACATACCAACTTTCCACAATGAGCAGCATTGCGCTCAGGAGGCGTGCTCCTTGAGACTCACTGATCTGACACTTAAATCCACACACAATAAGTAGCTTGCAAAATAACCCATGAATGTGTGGTGCACCCAAATATGCACAACCACATTTGATATTATGGAGGCTGAGCCAAGGGTCAAGCTTTATTTTAATAACGCTTTTAGAGCGTGGACCCCCTTTAAATATTAAGAGCATAATTAATCAACATGCATGATATGTATTCCTGTATAAATAATGGGTTTAGAGTAGTGTAGCTGCAAGCGGAACCTTGGACACCAGAGTAGTCTGTTCCGGATTGCCTAATGCGGACCAATTTCCGGATTGCCTAATGCGGACCAATTTCTGGTTTCCCATTAGAAGTAATCTGGAGAAAGACACGAGTGCTCCTGTCATCACTGCTCATGCACTCTACCTTTATTTTACAGATTCTTCTCCATTCTTTTTGTTATTGTGGTCACCATGCCCAGGACCCGTAACAAACTGTGGGGGCTCGTCCGGGATCTCTCCTCTACAGTCGCAGAGAAGCAGATCCAGTGATACAAGAACCAGAGGCAACAGTGACCAGAGTGCCACTTCAGCCAAGTCAGCCAGCGGGTGTCCAAGGAGTGGGATCAGGGTGCATAAGGTTCACCGCCCCATCAGAGAGTCACACTGTTGTACAGGAACGCTGATGCATGCTAATCACTGCAGAGTTACATTGCCAAAGAACTAAGACTACATATAGACCATGTCGACAGCACGAAAGGAGTTGATATGGAACATTAGAGGACGAATGTTTACCCTCTCCAGTACAAATCTCTACGAATTAGCAAAGAGTATTCCAGAAGACACCAATGACACAACCCAGTTCAGCCAGAATGACAAGGAAAGCTGCATGGATTATGTCACTTCCTACCTTCAGTCAGACACCTTACTACAACTGGAGGATGAGGGCATGAGTCAGTCACTTATGTTAAATGATCTGGTGAGCCAAGTCATTGCAGTTGGCACCCTTGCTGATCCTCCTGCCGAGTTTGAAACACCTAACATGCCTAGGCCCCATCCCTCTAATATAATGCCAGATCCACCCCCTCCTGACAGTCGACCAGACCTTCAAACCAATACAAGCATCCACTCGGAGACACAGTCAATAGAGGAGTTGAGGAGAGCATATGAGGAACTGAGTGAATGACTAAGGCAGAGTAAGACCACTGTCCCCAGCCGCCAGCTAAAACCTATCATCAAAGCCACTTGCCTCCACACCAAACCAGAAAGTCAAGGGCAGAACAACCAGTTACCCTAAAAGACCTTTAAACTCTCTGCGCGGGAGATAGGAAAGTGTTTGGAGGACAAATTGGAGACAATAGCTCTGACATTAGTTACAGCAGTCTCACTAAACAGATCAAGGAAGGAGTTAAAGAAGGATTTGCAGAAGCTGAGATTGTGAGAGGTGTTCTTAGAATTATCAAACCTGGCACATTTAAGGACATGCTTATGCACAAAGATGAACTGTCCCTCCCAGAACTTCAGGGCTTCCTTAGATCTCACCTTGGGGAAAAGGCAACCACTGAGATGTTTCAGGAATTAATGTGTGCTAGACAAGCAGAACAAGAATCTCCTCAACAGTTCCTGTATCGCATGATTGGACTCAAACAAAAACTAATTTTCCAGTCGAAACAAGCACACTCTGATATTTCCTATAATCCTAAGACTATACAAGAGGTTTTCCTCCACACAGTCTACCAAGGGGTTGGGGCGAAGTATATTGACTTGCGACAGAGATTCAGACCCCTTGTTTCACACAGCCAAGTCACAGATGAAGAAATCCTTAGAGAGCAGTGGGGTGCTTGAAGTGGACCGAGTTTCAGGGAAATGGGAATTGGTCTCTGTCAAGGGACAGCCAGAGACCGGTGCAGAGCCTCAGTCCCAGACACTAAAGCCAACCCCTGCACAACCTACCAAGCAGTTTACTAAGCATTGCACCAGACAGACAAGAAAATACTCCAAATGCAAAAGCAAGTCACAAGCATCCTCCTGTCAAAGTACCACGAGTTGCAGGGTCCTCCTAGTTGGTAAGAAAAGCCTCCTTAAATGTCTAATAAGTGGTTACCCAGTAACAGTTTTATTTGACTCCGGTTCACAAGTAAGCATAGTTGACAGACAGTGGGTCAGAAGACACATTCCCTGTTATGCCGTGAGACCCCTGCAAGAGCTCTTGGAGAATGAGCTGGAGGTTTACGCAGTCAGTGGTCAAGCCATTCCCTATGATGGGTGGGTCGAGCTAACTGTCACTCTTGCAGGCCAGGAAGACCCCAATCTCACTGTACAGGCACCATTTCTAGTTAGCAAACTGTCACTCCCCCAACCAATAGTAGGAGCCAATGTGCTTGGAGCAATTAGTCAAAGACAGAAATCAGACAAAGATGCCATTGCCACACTCATCACCCTCCTTCATAGAGCTTTTGGAATGGAAGAAGAACAAGTGGTGGCCATGGTCAATTTCATTCAAGTGCCAAGAGGAACTGACTGTGACCCAGCCACAGTAAGAACAGGAAAAGACAATATAATCATCCCAGCTAGAAAAGCAGTGCAAGGGTACCCCAAAACTTTGACACTTCAGCCCCCCTTGTGCTCTATGAACCTACACAAGAAAACAATGCTTTAAGACAGCTAAGTGTGGGAGAAGGCCTCTTAGAGATCAACAACACCCAAAGACCATATGTAAAGATACTCATCTCCAACCACTCAAAGCATGAGATCATCCTCCCAAAAAGAACCACACTGAGTACCATCCAGCATGTCACTAAGGTCCTCGAAACAGACAAGCTAGAGCCGTCCTTGTCTCAGCTTACAAAAAGTACAGTGACCACAGTGGAGGTAAATTCAGCCACTTCTCCCTGTGATCCACCTACAGAGCCATGGTTGTCGCCAGTCAACCTCAGCCACTTGAGTCAGAGCAGCAGCAGGCAGTGGAAAAGGTACTAGTCGAAGAGAGTGAGGTGTTCTCTCGTGACAGTGGTGACATCGGATGTATTCCCTCGCTGCAGATGGAAATCAAAAGATGACACGCCAGTTCAAAGGGCCTATGCTTCCATCCCAAAACCACTTTACATGGAAGTAAAAGAATACATTCAAGAACTCATAGTAAACGGATCTTTAAGTCTGTGTATTGATTACTGCCTCCTGAACAACAAAACAGTGCCAGACTGTCACCCACTTCCCCGGATCCAGGACCCCACTGACTCACTCGAAGTTTATGGCTGATTTTCAATTCTGGATCAGGGCAAAGTCTACCACCAAGGATTCATTGCAGAAGGATCAAGGTACAGTGCCTTGCGAAAGTATTCGGCCCCCTTGAACTTTGCGACCTTTTGCCACATTTCAGGCTTCAAACATAAAGATATAAAATTGTAATTTTTTGTGAAGAATCAACAACAAGTGGGACACAATCATGAAGTGGAACGAAATTTATTGGATATTTCAAACTTTTTTAACAAATAAAAAACTGAAAAATTGGGCGTGCAAAATTATTCAGCCCCCTTAAGTTAATACTTTGTAGCGCCACCTTTTGCTGCGATTACAGCTGTAAGTCACTTGGGGTATGTCTCTATCAGTTTTGCACATCAAGAGACTTAAATTTTGCCCATTCCTCCTTGCAAAACAGCTCGAGCTCAGTGAGGTTGGATAGAGAGCGTTTGTGAACAGCAGTTTTCAGTTCTTTCCACAGATTCTCGAGTGGATTCAGGTCTGGACTTTGACTTGGCCATTCTAACACCTGGATATGTTTATTTGTGAACCATTCCATTGTAGATTTTGCTTTATGTTTTGGATCATTGTCTTGTTGGAAGACAAAGCTCCGTCCCAGTCTCAGGTCTTTTGCAGACTCCATCAGGTTTCCTTCCAGAATGGTCCTGTATTTGGCTCCATCCATCGTCCCATCAATTTTAACCATCTTCCCGGTCCCTGCTGAAGAAAAGCAGGCCCAAACCATGATGCTGCCACCACCATGTTTGACAGTGCGGATGGTGTGTTCAGGGTGATGAGCTGTGTTGCTTTTACGCCAAACATAACATTTTGCATTGTTGCCAAAAAG